ACACCGGCCATGACGGCAACACGGACGACGGAGATTGGGCCGGACCGCACAACGACGTGAGCGCGCTCATCAAGGGGCTTGCGATGGTCTGCTGACCGCGCAGTCATTCGATCATTTCGATGTAGAATGCCATCGTGGATTGGGGCTGGAGAGCTCTGCATCTGAGCGTTCTGGCAGGCAGGGAGGTCGTCGAGCAGTACTATCGCGCGCCAGCCAAGAAATCGTACTACCTTGGGTGCTCTACAGGTATGCCGGACACGCACCTCTCTTCCCGCAACGTGAATCTGAACATTCCCGTTTCAGGAGGGCGTCAAGGGTACGTCTGATGCAATGTTCGCTGCAGTTGGCCGCTCATCGTGGTATCTCCAGTCTCAAAGAAGTGCAAGATTTTCCTGAGGATTTCGACGGAGTCGTAAGTCTTGTACACGTTGCCCACCTAATCACCTCATATGGTTTTATCTGGACAGGTCGTGGGGTCCCCAGCCAACTGGCAGACTCATTTGCAGGCATGGTCCGTCCATATGAACTTGAACACCGAACCTTCAACGTCACCTCACTTCATGACTGAGGACATGTGGTCCAATGTTATCGCACCCGAAGTCATGAGACAATGTGATGAGCTGGACGGCGTACGTACTTTATAGATACATTGCTCGGTGGTTCATAACCTTGGACATCGTGCAGCTCAAAGATGGAATCATCAACGACCCTAGAATATGCAGGTAAGCCTCCGCCTGCCGATTGAGCATGCCTTCACTAAGTTCTCCATGAGTTTTCGACCTGAAACATTGACATGCCGTCCCGGTCAAAACGCGTCCACGTGCCTGACGAAGGATCAGATCGGCGCGCTACACAGGATCTATGCCGATTACTACGAAGCTGACCAGACGTATGTTTTCGGGGGATACTACCCCGGCGGCGAGACCGAGTACTACCACGGCCTCGTCGGGAAGCAGCACTTTGCGATCGCAACGAACTACTTTGGGTTTATGGTACTCAAGTGCGTTCGTTTCTATCTCTCGTTCCGACTCGATGTCGACTGTCTATGGATGCAGCGATACTAACTTCACCATTCACGACTACAACGCCACTGTGCTCGAGGTTGCCGACGAGATCGACCCCGGTCAAGCCAACGTGAGTCACCGTCTCAATGTTTAGCCCTGTTTCTTCCATTCACGAGAAGTTCGTGATGGTCTCAGGCCATCAACCCGAACCTCACCGCGTTCGCTGGTCCGCCCCACAACGGGAAGCTGATACAGTACGTCGGATGGGCAGACCAGCTCATCAGTCCCGGCAACTCGGTCCACTACTACGAGACTGTGCACGAGTTCACGCTCGCGAACACGACTATGGACATCGACGACTATTACCGCCTATTCCTTGTTCCTGGCATGAACCACTGGTGAGTCTGCACACGGCCAAGTCCTCATGCTTCCTATGCGTTGCTCACAAGAAGTCAACTCCAGTCATGTAGGTTGTGAGCAGCACCTCTCACGAACGCGACGCCTAACGCGTGTCTTCAGGGTGGTTTCGCCGCGAACGCGTTCGGCTCCGTCGAACAAGCGTCCAATGACAACCCGCCCCTCTCCTTCGATCCGCAGCATAACATCCTTGCCGCCATAGTCCGCTGGGTTGAGCAAGGCGTCGCGCCCGATTCCATCATCGCGGCAAACTACAAGGACAACAACTTCACGAACGGCGTTGGTTTCACGCGCCCGCTCTGCAGAGTACGTCGATCTATTGGACGTTCTGAGCTCCGCATTCTGAACTTTGTGGTTTGGCAGTATCCGTCTACTATCCGATATCGAGGTGGAGATCCCCATAATGCAGGTAGTTTCTACTGTGCATAGAAGTGCAATGGTACAGAAACCGTCACATCTGTTGACCGTTTGCACCTGTATGAAGTTCCGCGTGTTCCTCCACAACATCCTGATTGATGCGTGCACGTGCATGTCGGCCAGGTTGAGGCCCTCAGTTGCGTCTGGAACGTCGTTGATTGCCGTTGCTGGTACACGAATTACATACGGGTCCTATGGTACTTTCTGGCTGCATGCGCATGCACATGCTGTAATCATGATGCTAGATATGTGCAGGGGTTTGCTATGCTCGAATTGTGCGATGGTATCGTAAAGTCGTGACCAATCGTGAAGCCTCGCACGGCGCACCCACGTCCTCAAAATCTCCTCTAAGCCTCTCAAACAGGGCTGTCGTTCTGTCTTCTGCCTCTCGACGGCTCGCCGTCCTCTGCAGACGGCCGCTCGTTGGGCGCGACGGGCTTTTCCCTGTACTGCGACGCCTCGCCATCTGCGGCGCTGCGGCGTGATCCGCTCCGTCCGCTCCGGCTCGCGGACGATACCGAGCGGCGCACGACCGTCTTGACATGGTTCACAGGGTCGCCGGGAGACTCGCGGAAGTCGACCGTATCTTGCCCTGGATTGAACCGCCAGTATTTGATGCTTTACGAGAGGGGTAAAGGTGTCAGTACGACGCTCAGCCGCATTGGGTATGGGAGAGAGAGAGAGGGGGGGGGGGACGAGGAGATACGTACTGCTTTAGGAAAGTGTAGAATGCGGAACCCAGCAGCGAGCCGAGGAAGGGACCAAGCCAGTACTACGACCGTGTTAGACAGACCGATTGGCGAGGACGTCATCATAGGGAACGTACTATCCAGTGCTCGTTGTACGGGAAACCCGTCACCACGGCCGGGCCAAACGCACGCGCCGTGTTCATGCCGGCGCCGGTGTAAAAGACTGCCCATCTATGAAGAGTCTCTGAGTACGTGAAACAAAGCCATGCAATGCACGGAAACGCGTACAGATGGCATACAAAGAGGGTGAGACCGATGCCGACCTAGCGTCACCAAGGTGAGCGACTTTAATTCGGCGGCAAAGTATCAAAAGAAACATACCGGTGCGAATGGGGTGGCATTGTGCTTTTCTGCAGCCAACATGAGGACGGCGAGGACGAGTGCGCTCGTGATGAACATCTCGATGAATACGCCCTGCGCGCGATTGACACCTGGGCCGAGGTATGTGCTGAAAAAGACAGCATTAATCAGGGATCGACGCGATATGTACGGGAAACGTACTTGGAGGCGAGTGGCCCTGGCGTGAGTGCATAGATTATGGCTGCTGCAGTGATGCCTCCCACGAGCTGCGCGATGCAATAAAGAACAAAGCGCAAGGGGCCGATTACACCAGTGATGAGAAGTGCGAGGCTGACGTCGGGATTAAACAATCCTCCTGTGACCCGATAGAACAGCCAGACTGAAGACAGCAGGCTGAACCCGAAGCAGAGCGAGATGTACATGTCCCGCTCGATGTTTGACACCTGTGAACTCGAGAAGGCTTCGCTCTGCGATGCCTGCACGCCACCAAAGGCTAGAAGAAGAAAGAAGGTAGTGCCGACATATTCCAGGAGTGCAGCGCAGACATCATCTTTGATAGACGCGAAGAAGGAGGGCCTTGGTGACTCCCCGAATCGATAGTTTGGATCTGCTATCGAGCGGTCAGACGTCCCGGCAGAGCGACGAAAGAGGTTCATGGCGAGCGAGCACGGCGAAGAAGGGGAAGTAGGTGACATAACCTCCCTACCTTGAGGAGGCTTATGAGCGTGCTGGTGCGCCAAGGGCTGACTGGGGCAAACCATGCGAGAACGGGTGAGATCGATATTTACGTCACATGATCGGGAAAGATACACGGCGGCCATGGAGAGCTGTCAGACGCGACTCCTATTAGCTTGCGAGGCTGGAGTGGGCGATAGGCGTCCCGGGCGCGCATGCGCGCAGTGCAATTGGATGAAACGACGCGGAGAATTCGGAGGGATACACGGAGATGGACATAGACGGCAGTCGATAATTGACCCACTCCACTTTCTCGAGCCTCTGGGCGGCTTGTTGCAACACGAGGCGCCTGTGCATTGCCGGACAATCCACCCAGCGCCGCACCAAGATGTACGTCGCAGCTCGCTGCATTTGCGCCGGGCTGCTTGAACATGCAGATGTTGGCTCCTACGGAGTATGTACGACGCGAAGAGCGTCATACGGCTCAGTCCCAATCGCCGCCTCCTGAGCGGCCGCGCTTGATCTGCTTGCGCTTGTCCTTTTCCAGCCGTCGTCGGGCCTTTTCTGCCCTCTCAAGCGAGCGTACCCGTTCTCTTTGTTCCTCTGACGGCTCGTTCACAAGCCCTGCGGATGCGGCGGACACAACCAGGGAGTGCAGCTGCCGCGATCGAAGTTGTCAGGGATTACATCACAGGCGGAGCGGCCAGGGGCACTCGCCTTAGCAAGGCACTCTTGTACATTCTGGGCTTGCGAGCGATGCACGGTCGATGTGAGAAGAATCGACTGGGATGACGAAACGTACGAAGGCTAAAGGACACGAATGTAGCGGACATGACATCAATCTGGGTGGTCCTCGGACTTGCGGCCACCTACCGTCTTCTTGATGTAGTCGCGCGCCCACGGCGGGATCCAAGGTTCGTGTATTGAGCATCTCAGGGTAGCCTTCGTGTTCACTTTGTTCACGTTCTAATAGGGCGACATGGAGCCATCGGAAACCGGTACGAGGACGGCATTATCAAGAGACGTACTTGACCGCCTGGCCCAGAGCTTCGTGAGAAAGTGAGCTCCACTAGATTCTTTGGTATCTGCGCTGCCTTGAACTGGTCTATCCACGCTTTAGCTTCCGCACTTTGGGACGCGTCCTGAATCACCGGGAGTGAGGGGGGCAGAGGCAGGGTCTGGCGTCCCCAATGTGATGCTCTTGCTAAGAGTGTAGGCCAAGAAATAATGCGGCCAGCACGTGGAAGAGGAGCGACTCGGCCGTATGCCTGCATCAAGAGAAGGGAGTGACCGATACCAAATCAAGACCCAAAGAGCGGCCTCCAATACCCAATGATGAGTGATGGCAAGAAGTGCAAAATGCGTGCAAGGTCAGCATTCCGAGAACATCGGGGTGCAATAAAACCGTTCTGATTGCAAGCGCCTGAAGGAAAAAAGCTGAACCCTACCCGATTTGAACGGATGACCTTGAGGAAACCGGCGAATCCCAAGGAGGATTACACTGGAATCTCACGCGCTACCGCTGCGCCAAGGGTTCTTGGCTCTAGACAAAAGCTGTTTTTATATCAAAACGTTGATTTGTACCGAGAAGCTGCCAGAATCGGGGGGGAGGGGTTAACTACTTGCCCAAGTGCCCTTCTTGACTTACTGCAAATCGTATCGGTCCTCCCCTACATATCTCGTACTTGCTTGTATCTGTTGGATTCTAGTTCTCAGCATGGTGTCGGTCAAAGTGTCTGCGGCCAAGTCCACGCCGTTGACTCGTAATCTACCTACATTCATCACCTTCGACAAGTCTACCGAGGAGCACACCGTTCGTGACTTGAAGAAGGCGATCACCGCAAAGAACCCGAAGGCGAGTAATGCTTGCGCTAATGCACGTTCACAGTCGCTGAGCGGCGGAATCCAGTTCCACCCATCTCGTCAAAAGTTGACTTTGAAAGGAGACAGCAAGGCCCTAGCTGACAACGCAACCTTGAAAGACGCGGGTGTCGTGGATGGCACCGAGGTTACCGTCAAGGATCTAGGCCCTCAAATTGGCTGGAGAACGGTGTACCTAATCGAATACGTGCGTGCCGTCTTCCTCCCATAGCAACTGAACGCGTTTCTGACGCGTCTTCTATTCTGACGCGCGTAGGCTGGTCCTCTTGTCATCCATCCCCTCATATACCATTTCCCGGCCGTGTTCTATGGGGGCCCTGTCCAGCACAGTCTTCTTCAGAAGTGAGGAGCTTCTACGTAGGACGTACCTGCGAATGATGTACTAAACCTACCCAGATACGTGTACGCCGCAGTCATGCTGCACTTCGTCAAGCGTGAACTCGAGACCATCTTCGTCCACCGCTTCTCACACGGGACCATGCCATTCCGCAACGTCTTCAAGAAGTACGTCGACCGTCGCATCTTTGCGCGATTGCACGCGGTGTTGACGCGTCTTCTCCACTAGCTCCGGACATTACCACATCTTGTCCGGCGTATTGCTCGCGTACTCGGTCTATAGCCCGACTTACGCTGCGAATTCGCCGTACATCCGCGGCACTATCCGCGAGAATCCCGCGTTTTTATGGTCTTGCCTCGCCCTCTGGCTGGTACGTCTTGTTCTCGTCGTAGTCGCGAGACGTTAGGAAATTGATCGCGTGCTCCATTTGACATAGTTCGCAGAGCTCTCAAACTTGCATACCCACATCGTTCTGCGCAACCTGCGCCCGGCGGGTACGGCTAAGCGCGCGATCCCGTACGGGTACGGCTTCTCCCTGGTTTCGTGCCCGAACTACTTCTTCGAGACGTTGGCGTGGACTGTCATCGCTGTCATGACCGGTAGTTATGCAGGTGAGCTTCTCGCTCCCGCCCGGCTCATCTTGGCTGCTGGCGCTGACTAGGGATTGGCCTTCCAGCCTGGATCTTCTTGGTCGCTGGCACGTACCAAATGGCAGTCTGGGCTGTTAAGAAGCACAAGAACTACAAGAAAGAGTTCGGGAAGGACTACCCCGCAAACAGGAAGGCGATGTTCCCGTTCATCCTCTAAAGCCTCCTTGGCCCGCGACTTCGCAAAACACGCGCCATTGACCGGCGTTCTGCTTGGCCTTTGATTGGCTGCTCCTCTGGACTCACTGAATGACCTATAATGCTAATTGCACGCTCACGCTGTTCATATCCCTCGAATATTCGAGACGACGTGTCTTTACGTTTACGGGATGCTGTACGCCAACCACACCTCGCCGGCGGCTTTATCATCCACGCCGAGCCCCGACCCTACCCATCCGCTCACGAGCTTCGCCACGGCCGTTTTGACGAGCCAGCCTGCGATGATGATCATTGTGGTGAACAAGGGGTGGCAGTCGAGGACGACTGGCATATGGTGACACCGAGCGGGCGGTGTCAGTTCAGAAGTCGGGCCGAGACTTCACATAACCTTACCTCGTAATCCGAAGCCGGCGGCCATACCGCCCAGAACGTTCCGAACTACCCACTCACGGTCGAGGTTGTCTTCATCGAGCAGCTCAAGTGCTCGCACGACGAGTGGGTGCTGAAACCTTGTCGTATTTGGGTGTAGAGCAGGCTCTTCGTGGGTCGCATTCGGCTCGGCTGCACCCGGCCTCCAGATCGAGAGACAGAACAGCAAAAACAGCTTCGTGAGGGAGGAGTAGAATAGCGTCAAAGGAATGTGCGAATATCTGCAGCGTTTGGAGACCGTCAGCGACACGTCTCAATCCTCCCTCACATTGCCAAGAAGCGGAGGCTTCGCAGGACGCAACGATGGAATGATTGCAGATCGTCCTTGGCACGCTGAATGAGAGTACGACTCCCGCAGTACACACCTGAATTGCTCCCGAATGCCTGACACGGGCGCTTTGGGTGATGGGAGGAGCTTCATAATAGCGTAACAGGCGAGTACAACGCCGGCGTGAAATGCGGCTGTCTCTGCGTACGGGGGCAGTAGATGCTCGCGTTAGACGTGTGCCTTAATTGACGGAGCAGGGCTCCAAAGATAACAGCATACCGAAGAAACAACCCACGAGGATGCGCACGAAACCTTCAAGCGCGGCGCGATTCCAGGTTGGCATGTCGGAGATGTCACCGGGCTTGCTCGAGCCTACGGGAGGCCGGGTCAGCTGGGAGACAAATGTTCCTAGGAGCACGGAAGGCTCACTGATATGCGTCCAGCGTATGACTGTGGTGCTCATGAGCTTCCTGTCGTCCGCAAAAGAACGAAGATGATCAGGGACACACATGCATCGACGCAGATCAGGGCGCTCCCAAGCTTCATGATGAGCCACCACCTGGACTGCGTTATGCTGGCTCTGTGAGTGGCGGACTTGCCCGACTCCGACGTGAGACGCACCAGCTCGCTGTGTCCGACTTGGCTAACCAGGCGCGTGGAGTCCTCCTTTGTGGGCGCTTTGTCGCCCACTCTGCGGGCACCCAGACCGCGATTGTAGAGAAGGTGGCGATAAACATCCCTTTTCAGTAAGATCAGGTCCAGGACGAGGGTGAGCGTGTCATGCTCGACATAAGGGTCTGCGAACGCGTGGCAGGCGGTCTATATAGCGGCCGAGACGCGAAGCCAGATTAGCATGGCCATCCGAGTAAGAGATGCTTCTCAAATTTGAAGCTCGAATAAGTTAAATGTAGGGAGACTGACGCACTGCTCCAATCGAAAGTTGTACGCGGAGTCGTACACGGTGTATAGGTACGGAGTTGGTTGAGCGCAGCTCGTGCAAATCGGCATTTCCGAGAAACGTTTTCCAGAGGGTCACCTATAGCAACGATATCAAGGTACATGACGAGCCCGAGAGTCGGCCGTTACGGTGCTGCTGCGAACCTAGACGGCGGTTGTAAGGTAGAGGTGCGAGGTCTCCAGGAGAAACAGGACTAGTGCAAGGCGACGTGAGGTCTCGTACAATCAGAGGCCCTGATTAGGCCTAGGGTAGGATGCGATGTGACCCGGGCTCACTACAACCCAGATAATAGACGCTCTGATGAGATAGGTTACAAATGTAGAGGGACGAACCGACAAACCTGTAAGGCTTCCCGAGCGGACGTGTCGTCGGATGCGAGAGACGCAGCCCTTGCAGATTTGAACTCGGACGAGGTCCGCCGGCGTGCGGTGTAAAGTTGAGGACGCTGAGTGCGCCCACAAGCGCCCACTGTTCGATCGGCGCTTACCGTGAGACCATGGTCTCCGGCAGCGAATGCAGCGCCGACACCGCAAACGACGATAGCGACTGGCTTGCCCCCGGCGACAAACTCTACTGCTTTGGTCTTCAACGCCGTGGACGTAGTTCTCATCTAAGCGATCTCGTTACAACGAATTTGTCTCGATTCACCCGCCAGAATGCCTGCTGCACGGGCAACCTCTTCTGTTCGCGCCCTGGAGGCCATCCTGCCTCTCATTGCCTCCGGACAACCGTATGAAGCGCATCAGAAGGCGCGGACATTCGCTTCGCGCTATAGCAAGTCTAAGCAGTACGATGCTGCTATCGACGTCCTTTTCCAGTCTGCAAGGGAGCTTTTGAAAATAGGGCAGCAGGGCAGCGGTACGGATCTCGCCGTATTCCTCATGGATGTGTATGAGAGTAAGGGCGAGACCGTGAGCGATGAGAGCCGAGGTGAGTACCTTTATCTGTCCATCTTGGATGAATATCCCCCCTCTAAACGGAAACTTCAGGACGCCTGACTCAGCTGATCGCACTTGCGGGCCCCTCTGGCTCTTGGCGCAAGACCATCATCGACAAGGCGATCGCGTAAGAGTTTTCCAGCTCACTTGCTTGACTATGTCTCCTTGACATTGCCCAGTTGGTCCGTAAAGGTAGGACCACATCCGGGCGGTGACCCTGATCTCCATCACTACGTTGGCGAGCTTCTGTACAAGGGTACGTACGCGCGCTCGCTTGGAACATCCCGACACTCATCGGATCCTTGACATTCGGACTCGAGTAGAGGGCAGCTTTGCGGCGGCAGAGCCTCATTTCCTTGCGGCCGGAAAGCGGGACAGTGCCCGCGTCCTTGCCGAGATGTTTATTGAATGGACAGGCCCACATGGGCCGGCGGGGCCGTTCGCCCTGCGGGGGACCATACCGTAGGCTGCGGTTTCGTCCAGCGGGTTGTCACCGTTTCTCATCCGTCACGGACCTAGTTACTTGCAGAACGGGAACATACTTGCCGCCCGCACGTTCATCAACTCCTTCGTCTCACAGCTGACCACCCGCCGCTCTTCCTTGCTATCGCCGCATCAGCCCACACCTATCCCCGTTGGGAACAGTACAGATAGCGAACTGGATGAAATCGTGTTCACAACCGACTCTACGCTAAACTTCGCCCAGCTCGCCGTGCGTGCGTGTCAGCGAGCGCAAGGGGACAAGAACAAAATCATGCGGGAAGCTTGGGTACGGCTTTGGGGAACATACCAGAGCAAAGGCGGGCTCGTCGCAAATGGAGAAGTCCGGAAGGTGGGCATCTTACTGCGCAGGGTAGCATTGCTCCCATCGTCATCCTTCCATGATTACACGGCCATACGTCGCGCTGAGTCTGGGCGGT